ACCTCTTTCCCCCTGTCAGCTTGTTTTGGAGACTCTCTCGTCCTCTGTTCCTTCCACTCCATCACAGAGGATGCAAGTTCCCAGAGAAGATTAGTACTGTTGTTACCCCTTGACATAGCAGGGTCTGGTGTCCTAGGGAGGTGTGGGGTAGGAGTAATCCTGAAAGCTTCTGGACTATCGTCCAAACCCTGCCAGAAAACAGGGAGATGGTTTGCCATCATCCATCTTTTCAGTGGAGGTGGCAGGAGAGACTGAGATTTATCTCCTCTAATTTAGTGATTGGATTTAGCCTCCAAAGCTGGCTCACAAACGCCTTGAAGAACATTTGAGTCATTCCCTTTTCAGTGTAATATTTGCTGACTAATAGTGGTCTGCTGTATGAGATGTGATCCCTTTTGAAATCCCTTATATATCACCATATCTCTGTTTCTACCTGTATTCTTTTCCCACTAAGCATGAGGATATTATGGAGGCTGACTGCTTCTAGAGCAGCTTCAGGAGTGTCTTGTCTGTGAGAGAATCATTGGGCAAAGAGGCAACTGATGATGTGAAATACTGTTGTACTTCTGCCCATTCCTACCTTTTAGAAAGCTTTTCAGAAGAAGCAGATAAAGGCACATGGTCAAACTCCTCTGAATCTTCTTCAGTTCACTGCGTCGTAAAGAGGGGACCTGATCCTGTTTGCAGCCTCCCGGTGCCAGCTTAGCATGAGCAATAACAGAGCAGGTACTTTGAAATGAACAACATCTCCCCACTACTATCAGTTAGAGCAGCACTTCAGACAGCATTTAGACATGCAAGGCACTCATTTCCTCACTCTGGTTATCATTATGCACATCAGTGGAGAAGGTGGCCTCATGCTGGACCCTTTCTAGTCCAGGTACCTTTCTGATCTTCTGGTGTAACGCTGGTGAAGGTACACAGTGGCAGAGTAGGTGTTATCTGCTGTCTTACAATGTACATTACTGCGTTGTCCTGGCCTTGCTCCTGCTATAGATAGAGAAGATTGAGCTGTGTTTGACTCTTTAATTCCTCATTTTCTTTGAAGCCAGAGTGTTCTGTTGGGTCTTTGTGTGGCAGGGTAGAAAGGAGGAGTTGGACTTCAGGAACAGCAGCACTGGTGAGCCACTTGCAATCTACAGCCAGTGGCACCATTCGTGTCATGGAATCACAGAATGGTTTGTGTTGGAAGGGACCGTAAAGCTCATCCAGTCCCAACCCCTGCCACGGGCAGGGACACCTTCCACTAGAGCAGGTTGCTCCAAGCCCCTGTGTCCAACCTGGCCTTGAACACTGCCAGGGATGGGGCAGCCACAGCTTCTCTGGGCACCCTGTGCCAGCGCCTCAGCACCCTCCCAGGGAAGAGCTTCTGCCTCAGAGCTCATCTCAGTCTACCTTTAACCTCCTCCAGAGCTCAGTGAAATGGGTAGCCCATCACTGTCCTTGGCAGTTGCCTGGTCCTATTATTTCTCCCTGCTGTGGGGACAAACCAGAGTGCTGTCCTGAGGGCCATACAGAGCAGGCAGAAAGTCAGTGCTAAAGCCAGCCAAAACCTGCATGCCAGTGGGAGTGGTTTAGATTGACCTCCCTGAATGCTTTTTTTTGTGGACTCCCCAAAAGTTGTAACAGAGCCTGAAACTAAAGATAACTTTTAATGCAGCATCAGAACCTGGTGATGCTTTCTTTGCATGTTTGTCCTGAAACACTCAACAAAATGGTCCTGCAAATATCATTTCATAGCAGTTTTTTGTTAGCCTTTCGTTAGCCATTATTTTCCAGTAGAATATAAAACTTCATGGACCACAATATCTTTATTCTTTCAGCTTTCCTTTTTTCAAACTGGCTGCAGAGGCTTCAGTATTACAAGGGGGTTACACGAAAGATCAAGATTGTATTTGTTTTGAAAAGAGACTGAAGAGAATACATTCTGCTTATGAATGGTCACTAAGAGAGCACTGATCTTCACAGTGCTTTGCCATGCAACACAGGAGCTCGTGATGGTGATAAAAGGGTATAGATTTTTAAAAGGATGAAAGGAAATGCTCTTCTAACTTGGCACATAACAAGCTCCTGGAATTCATTGCTGGGGGATGTTGTTGCAGCACATACTTCAGTAAGATTCAAATCTCTGAAGACCTCCAGGTCCAGAATATGAATTTTCGGGCTAGCTGGGGTCACAGAAACTTATTTCCCCGTGGAAATATGTTGTACAGTCCCCCAGTTGCCAAGGGAGGGCTCAGCTCTTCTCTTAAGTATGAGCTACTAGGAGGAACAGCTAGTCTAGTTCATGACTGTGTTTGAGGTGAGAAACATCCAGTGTCTGGAGACTATTGAATGAAGGAAAACCTCAGGGAGCATTTTCCAGCCTAAAGGGAATTTTCTCATCATCTGCAGGCAGTTACTTTTTCTTTCATCTGGGAAGAATGGAAAATTTCTCAATTCTTTTGCTTCTTCTAAGCACAGTCATCAGAAAGGATTCACAGTCTTGATCCTCAGCATGTTTAATTCAATGGACCTTTTCCATTAACTTTAATGGGTTTTGTTTCGCTCCTTTTGCCAGAATGGCTTCTCCAAGTGCTTTGAGATCTACAGATGAAAGCCCTGGATAAGCAAGGGTAGAATTTATTATTATTGTTCATCTGGAAGGAGCTGAGTTATTTCATCTCCTTAGAATGACTTTATAAACTCTGCTGCCAGCAAAAGGAAGAGAAAAGGTGCTGGCCTTAGTCTCAACTGTTTTTGCACAGGCTGAGATGTGCTTACAAACGTCATCACAAATGGTTGTGCTGTTATTTGTATGACTGGTTTCAGCCAGAGCTGTCACCAGTTGTGCTCAGAACCACTGGGCTGGTACAGATTGATCTGCCAGGGCCAGCACCCACATCCCTCACATTTACAAGGTCTTTCCTGTTTCACAGGTCACCACCACCCTCAGCATCAGATCTGCCCATCATCTTCCTTGTCAAGCCTTGAAAAGCTCCTGAGTGGAGCTCCCCAGGGGCAGTTTCAGTGTATTAGTGGAAACTCAAATTCTTCTTATGAGTGAAGTGGATAGAAAAGAAGACCACCGTGCTCTTGCACAGTCTAGGTGTTCATATCCTAAACATAATCTTCATCACCAGGTGTGGGGTGGATACAACTGAGCTTTAGCATGCCAAGCTAACACTAACAGACAGAAAGCATGTAGGTCCCAGGGGTCAGAAAACATCTCTCTCACTTTTAAGCCTGCTGCTCAAGTTGCAGTATAGGCATAACTGCACTTTATAGAATCAGAGAATGGTTTGGGTTGGAAAGGAACTTAAAATCATCCAGTTCCAACCCTCTGCCATGGGCAGGGACTCCTCACACTAGACCATATTGCCCAAGGCTCTGTCCAACCTGGCCTTGAACACTGCCAGGGATGGAGCATTTACCACTTCTTTGGGCAGCCTGTTCCAGTGCCTCAGCACCCTCACAGTAAAGAACTTCTTCCTTACATACAACCTGAACTTCCCCTGTTGAAGTTTGTGTGTCAATACTAGCAGGAAGAGGTAAGAACTTCCATGATTTTATGAAGTTCTGCTTCTGGTTTTACTACTTGGGCAGTAGAGGGGAAAACCACTGTGGAAAAAAACCTGAAGATTGGATTGAATGTAATAAATGCCTTCCCAGATTTTTAGCTACTGCTAGTGAACTGCAAGGAAAAACAATATTTCATGGTAAAGTCCCTTCCAACCCAAACCATTTTATGATTCTATATGGTATAAAAGGCACAGTGTCAAACTGAGCCTGCCAGGGCAATCTCTTGCAGATGTAGAATTTGTTGGAGCGTGGTTTTATTTTGCAAGTAGAGGTGATCAGTGGCATTACTTCACTGAATCACAGAATGGTTTGGCTTGCAAAGGACCTTAATTCTCCTCATTTCCAATCCCCTGCCACGGGCTGGGACACCTTCCACTAGAGCAGGTTGCTCCAAGCCCCTGTGTCCAACCTGGCCTTGAACACTGCCAGGGATGGGGCAGCCACAGCTTCTCTGGGCACCCTGTGCCAGCGCCTCAGCACCCTCAGAGGGAAGAGCTTCTTCCTTAGATCAGACCTGAATCTCCCCTGTTTCAGTTTGAACCCATCACCCCTTGTCCTGTCACTCCAGTCCCTGATGAAGAGCCCTTCTCCAGCATCCTTGTAGCCCCCTTCAGACACTGGAAGCTGCTCTGAGGTCTCCACGCAGCTTCTTTTCTCCAGGCTCAACAGCCCCAACTTTCTCAGCCTGTCTTCATACTTCCACCTCACTCTTAAAATGTAGTCCTCAAGCCAACAAAATTCTCACATCCAAGCAAGTATGCTTAAATAGATGTATATTTAAGCCACAGAATAATGTATGTTTTACATATTAATGTATATATACACACAAATATACTTTTTTTCCTCACAGTTCATTAACAGTAGTTAAAATTTGGGAAGCCATTTACTGCAATCAATCCAATTTTCATTTTATCCACAGTGTTTTTCCCCCTCTACTCCACTGCCTAAGTAGTAAAACATATATTTGCATTTATATTTAAGTGTACTTGATTTCTGTTTCTTTAAACTGGGATGATTAAATATTCACACACAAAGATTAGAAGCATGTAATACATCTGGAGTCACTCAATCCCTTTTATAGGGCATTCATATAAAGAATAACTTCGTGGCCTCAGCAAGCTCAGAAGTGGCCCCATAAATCAATAGAACTACTGAGATGTTTTTCACTCCTATTGAAATAAAACTGTTGGTGACAATTTATAGCTGCAAATACAGTTCCTTTGGATCACAGCAGCCACAGTCCAGCTGGGAAATGGGGAACTCTAAAGAATCATAGAATGGTTTGGGTTGGAAAGGACCTTAAGATCATCTAGTTCCAAACCCCCTGCCCCAGGCAGGGACATCTTCCACTAGACCATGTCACCCAAGGCTCTGTCCAATCTGGCCTTGAACACTGCCAGGGATGGAGCATTCACAACTTCCTTGGGCAACCCATTCCAGTACCTCAGCACCCTCACAGGGACAAGCTTCTTCCTTAGATCCAACCTGAACTTCCCCTGTTTCAGTTTGTACCCATTACCCCTTGTCCTTTCTCTCTAGTCCCTGATGAAAGTCCCTCCCCAGCATCCTTGTAGCCCCCTTCAGACACTGGAAACTGCTCTGAAGTCTCCACTCAGCTTCTCTTCTCCAGAGAAGAGCCATCCTAGTCTCATTGACACCCATATATTTGGAATATCTACTGTTTTCTGAGTTTTCTGTGCTGTTCAGGTGCTGTTCTCCAAAATGAAATGTCTTGTTCCAGGTCTCATTTTGTGGAGAAGATATGTCCAAGATTTTTTGCTGACTTACTGTAGAAATAAATGACTCAGTCTGTAAGAGTGATTAGGGAAAAAGCAACAAACCCCCATTGTAATTACCTTAAGAGAAAAAAGGAAATCTGAAGGAATGTTCAGCGGACAGCAAGACCTGTTTAGGCTACTAGGAAGTTACTGGAAATGAAATGACTTGGACTATTAAAAAGAAGACAGAAAAAGGAAGACTATTGCAGGGCAGATTTCCACACCAGCATGGCAAGGGCTAAACAAACCCAAGCAGGCAACTCCCATCTCCAACAATGGAAATGTTTTGTGATTCTACAGGAACTGGGGTTTGTGCCTCTGCTGGGAATGTTTTAGATACTAAAACTTACCAAGGTGCTTTCAATATGAGCAGAGCTCTGATGTGCCATCTGTTCTTTGTACTCAGATGAGTTCTTGCTCCTAACCAAGACAGGCTCCAGCACATTGGCAAAGCAAAGCTGTGCTGGTTTAACTGTGTTTGCACCTGGGGTTTCTTCTAACACAGTTCTGCCTGTCAGGGAGCTGCACCTCTTCACAGCCATGGCTGGGGATTGGAACCAGATGATCTTAACCAACCCTAACTATTCAATGATTCTGTGATTCTAAGTAATGAAGATGGAAAGCAAAACCCAAGATAAAAAACTCACTCTAATTACATAGAATCATAGAATGGTTTGGATTGGAAAGGACCTGAAGATCATCCAGTTCCAACCCTCTGCCATGGGCAGGGACTCCTCACACTAGACCATGTCACCCAAGGCTCTGTCCAACCTGGCCTTGAACACTGCCAGGGATGGAGCATTCACCACTTCTCTGGGCACCCTGTGCCAGCGCCTCAGCACCCTCACAGGGAAGAACTTCTGCTTTAGCTCCAACCTGAACTTCCCCTGTTTCAGTTTAAACCCATCCCTCTTTGTCCTACCACTACATTCCCTGATGAAGGGTCCCTCTCCAAGCAGGCTGCAAATGTAACTGTGTGTTTAAATTGCAGGTATCTAGACCTCCGAAAGTTCGGCTCAGTTCCTCACGGGGGCTTCGGCATGGGCTTTGAACGCTACCTGCAGTACATCCTGGGAGTTGACAACATCAAAGATGTCATTCCCTTCCCCAGGTTTTCTCACTCCTGTCTCCTGTAGCTCAGCACTTGACTCACGTGGAGAAAACTGCTGGTGTGCTAAATGGATATAACATACTAGGATGTGACTAAGTATGGTTTAGTGGGAAATCAAAGTCGTTTTTGTATCAGTGAAACTGTTGGTAAATGTAATACTGGCTTATTGAAAATAATATGTTCTGGTGAGATTATGGAAGCACATTTGATAGCAGTTTGTGTCTTCAGTGTGCTTCAGGATTATTAATAAATCCCACTAAACTAAAGGGTTAAGATACTCGTGAGACCAGTACAAGCCATTCAAGTACTGAATAAGCATTGTTGGGAGGTAGGGGGGGGTTATGTGACATATTAATAAAGAGGTGTGACCTAAAATGGACTGGGAGCCAGTAATGCTGTGAGGCTTTAATAGGCATTCATCAAATGCCAGAACAATGCTTTGAAGGTTGAGTGTTATAAAATTGGGAAGTATTGTCATGGCTGTGATGCACTTGCTCTTACAAAATGGTTACTGTAAAGCATGAATGTCCCCACCCCGAGCTGAAAGCAGATACTGTTTACCTTGGAAAAATCAGCCAAACCTAGCAAGGAAAAATGGCACATTGGAACTGCTGGAGTGAATTAGGTGAATGATGTTTGATTATGTGAATCAACAATAAAGAAATACACTGGGTTGTTTTGTAACCCTGTATCGTTTCTGGTTCTGTTCTAAAGCCATAGCACTTGGCATCATGGTGTTCCTTTCAGTGTCTTTGGTAGATGTTTCCTTTCTGTATACCCAAATTAGTTGCCTATCTTCTGCAGGAGATATCTGTTTTCTGTCCCTGTGACAGCACATGTCCATGGCACAACGAAACACTCAGATGAGAGTTCATTCATCTCTCCAGAGCCAGGCTGCAATTTATTGGTGTTTTTCTTCTTGTTGCTCTGGTTTTTTATTGTGGTTATTGAGAAAATCTCTCATCAGACCAAGAAGTTTTGTCTATATTTTGAAACAACCAACATATGCTCCCAAGCCTTGCATATGTATTAAGTAATTGCTTATCACCATAGGATCTGAACTCCTTGCTGTCTTGAATGGCTTTATGCTCGCAGCTTCCCTGCCAGGTAAAGAAATACTCATTTCTGTTTTGAAGTCAGGATTCTGGGAACATCAAGTGACTTGCTGAAGGCAATTGGAAACCAGCGGTTTATTTGGGACTTGAACTGAGGGTTTCCAGGATCCTTCTTCCCTTCCCAACCTATCACAACCCAACACATGGGCATTTGCATAGTGCTTACCACTCCAGAGCCCAAGCCTGCTGCAGTACAAACGATATATAGAAAGAGAAAAAGCAAGGTGACAGCTTCATTACTAATGAATCCCATGTAAATTGTCACATACAACGTGAAGTGGCTGCAGAACAGCCCTGAAGACTTCTTTTCCAAGTAGATGAAAGAGATTGAAAAGGAGTAATCAACAAGCATTGCGGTGGTGATGCTGCAGTCACAGTTCTTTCTGGTAGGACTGGATAATGCTGCACCTGCAGTGTCTAAAAATACATATTTATGTTATGTGGCACCTGCCATGTTTCAGTTTGGTCCATGGCTGGGGCTTTTTAACTGTTGTGATCATGCAGACAACTTCATCGCAAGGTCATTACTGTGGGGTGGTTGTTGCATGCACTGAGGTATCCCCTGCATATCAAGATTCTTTTGTATATCCTCTGTCTGCTTCATCAGGCAGGTGTTAACTGTGCATGTGCTGGTACAGCCCTGAGTTCATGGAATCATGGAATGGTTTGTGTTGGAAGGGACCTTAAAGCTCATCCAGTCCCAACCCCTAGCATGGGCAGGGACACCTTCCACTAGAGCAGGTTGCTCCAAGCCCCTATGTCCAACCTGGCCTTGAACACTGCCAGGGATGGGGCAGCCACAGCTTCTCTGGGCACCCTGTGCCAGCGCCTCAGCACCCTCACAGGGAAGAGCTTCTGCCTCAGAGCTCATCTCAGTCTCCCCTCTGGCAGGTTCAAGCCATTCCCCTTGTCCCGTCCCTCCAGGCCCTTGTCCAAAGCCCCTCTACAGGTTTCTTGTAGCCCCTTTAGGCACTGGAAGCTGCTTTAAGGTCTCTCAGAGCCTTCTCTTCTCCAGGCTGAACTCCAGGCTGAGTTGGTAAGTCTGGTTCCACTAAACAGTTTAAGCACCTGCCTTCCCTTTGCAACCATTGAGGAGTTCCTACATCAGACACCCAGGTGTCTTCCTGCATTTGGACCATCTCTCCCTGTAATGCATTGTCTTAAATGTTATTGCATTTACGATTTGGAATTACTTCTCTCAGCAGAAAGATGTGGAAGGAGTACAGCTGCCAAACAGCCCCATCCACACCGTGTTCCTACATAACCTGTGATGAGCCAGTGTCCTCATTGAGACAGCCACTGGTTCTGCCATGGTTGCTGTAAATGAGAGTGCTTGAACTGGAAGCCCACCTGCTGAGAACAGAGTGGATGGATGGCAAACCCATCCCCTGCTCTCTGCTCTCATCCCCACTGCAGCTCTGGGCTGGCTGTGTTGGGTTTGGCATCAGCAGGAGGTGGTTGATCACGCTGTCAGATGCCAGATCTGATGGGCAGGGTGGGGCTAAACAAGGACAAGTGAAAAACAAGCTGTAGAGAAGAAGACAATGGAAGGTGCCAGAACGTCGTAGGACGATGTGGCATGAGTCACAAGTTACAGGGCAGGATGGCAGGGCTGTTTCAAACAGGCAGAGTGGCTGTCAGGGCCTGATAGGAGGTGACAGCTTGCAAGAACCAAGAACTGGTATGATCCACCCTTCATTCGTTGCCTTGACAAGACGTCACTGCAGGACAGAAGGAGTAGGTTGAACCTTTGATTTGTAGATGGTAGGTTTATGGAGATACATGGTAAGAAAGATGTAACGAGGATGCACTGTGAGTGGTTCTTCACGTGTTTCCAACTCAGTGTCCAAGAGGAGCAGTCTGCCTGGTCTTGTACATGCATTTCTATTTCATTCAAAGGTATTTGGTGAGTTGGAGACCCAGTGGACAGGGTTGAGCTAAAGGGACATTGCCCTTGGGTCTAAAAGCTCATCCATAAAGAACTATCCCCAGTAATCTGACAGAATAAGCAGGAGGAGAGTAGGGTTGTCCCCAGAACTAACCAGATGAACATTCAGGCTCTGAAGGGTGAAGAAAGGGTTGTCCAGTCTTGGAAACAGCCTTCAACATGAGTTGTTTTTCCTAGTGAGGGAAGAGGGAAGGTGGAGGCTGAGGCTCATGTGTGTGATGATATTGCTTAGGGTTAATACTGAGATCAGTGTTCTTGTGAGAAGCTTTACTTATGGGTGCTCATTTCCCTCCAGGCTGGCATTGTTCGCCTCGTGCTATGTATATATAACACAGGCTGGTGTTGCCAAGGAATGCAACGTGTTTTCCCTGGGTTTCCATGTGGAATGTTATGTATTTCCTTCGAATCTCCTCTCCCGGAATGAAGCGGAAGTTAATCTGGAGGGACAGGGAAGGTCACTCCTCTTGGACATGCAGGCAGGGAAACACGCTGAGAATTACTTAGATTTAAGCAGGTTTCTGTGCTACCTCTTCTCTTAGAGGCTGCACTGTGAGAAAGGCTGAAGCCAGATAAAAACTGACACTTCTTCAAATAAAAAGCCTGTATTCTTTGCACACAGGAATCCTCTCTTAGCCTGATCATGCATTGCAGTGGCTTACACTGAGGTGTTCTCAGTGCGGTCAGCGGTCAGCTCTCCAGCCCAGGTAACCAGCACGGTCTCTGCTGGCATCCTTTTGGTGAGTATCTCTTCAAGTTTCAGTTCCTCAGAGCCTCTTTTCAGGTTTGTCCTCAGAGTGAGCATCAGAGGAAAGAATCAGCATCACTGATTACAGCTTCTGTGGCTGTACAACGTTAGGACAGAGGGATGGGAGAGCAACATTGCTGGGAATAAAAGAGCAATGCCGTCAACTTTGCATAACCAAATGCCAGCCTCTCAGGAGAGTGTTTAGAGGGAAAACCTTTGTTTTCACTTCAGGAATATCAGATAATCCCTTCACTTAAGATCTTTATGCTCAGGATCAAAGTATCCCAAAGTCCTCTGGTTTTAATTAAAAGAATAATACCTGCAGATCTAACACTATGTCTCAGTCTTCCTGTTTTTAAATCCACAGGAGAGCAAACACGTGCTCTGAAGCTAATAACAGAGATTGCTGTTCTCTCCCTTATGATTTATATTGCAGTGTTTAGATCTTGGACTGTTGCACCAGCTTCTGTACAAGCACAGACAAAAAGGTACATCTCTTGGCCAAATACTTAGAAGCCAACAGACCAGCGTAGGGATTTTAGCTGTATTACCTGCCTTTGGGCCCCAGAGCCGAGGGGAAAGCAGCAAGGTGCCCAGCTCAGCACTCTTCACTCCAGTTTCTTTGGTAGTAGTTGTAATTTCTAAAGCATCACTTGTTTGAGGGAATGCCAAGACACTGATGGGAAATGTACAGTTTTGCTTGCTGGACTAATATTGATTGTTTTGGAAATAGCTTATAGATGTGTTTTGCTTTGGGGGGGGGGATAAGGGACTAATTTGCCAAGAAACACTTTGGTCATTGTTTCCATTAAATGTGTGTATAGAGATAAACGT